ACATAAGACTATCCATTTTTATATATTGTATTTGGGATATATGCTCTGAATATATAGTAAAAACTTTTTTATAATATCTTGATATCTTTCAAATAATTCACAAAAATATGTCATTCTTTTAGTATAGAAATCATCTTCATTAATTGAGAATAATTTGGTACAAATGTAATATAACACTAACATAAATTATTCATACATTTCATTGTTCATACGAGAATTTCTATCTCTGAACGTAAAAGAGAAAAACTTGCTCCTATATTTCTTGCTCACATCAGCCTTTCAAACATTTCTAATGTATTGTATCGGTCATGTTCTGAAAATATTTTGATATTTCCATGATCTATTCGTAAAACACCAGTGATCCAAAATTGAAAGTAAACTTGTCATATTTTTTTTTTAGATTAGGTGGTTCCATCTGTGTGAAGCATGTGTCTCTATACAAAATAAAGATTTTGTCTATGCCAATTTTAAAATATTTATGAGATCAACATCTATATTATTGAAAATCCTATTATTTCGTCCTCTCTAAATATACATAAAATATATACAAATTGATTATCTTCCCTATGCGAGAATCCTCTCTAAAATAGACAAACCATTTTGCAAAAAGCACATGTGAAAGAAAAGTGTCAATAGAATTATGGTTAGTCATTTGTAACAGTCTAAAGTAACAAAAATTAATCAGAAATTTCGACATTCCTAGCTAGGATATAGACTAGGTTTTGGTGTATGATTATCTTGACAATAAAAATGAAGTGTATAACTTTCTGATTCTAATTTCGACTATTGTTTCCATGTTTTTTGTTAACAACTTTTCAGTGTTTGGTATAGGAGTTGAAAAGATGATGTATCAAATGAATTTTATTGGTAACTTAGATTTTTTTTTTCTATCACAAGATCATTATATAAGAATTTTTATTTAGTATGAATATGAAGACTACTTATGAAGGTTAATTGGATTTTGCTGAAAAAAATAATTACTAATTGGTTTCAAATTCAAAATTTATCGTTTTAGTTTCAATATTCTACATGTTGTATATTTACATTTGACAAAGAGTATATGTGCACCCAGCTGAAATCAACCACTTATTTTGATAAAAAAAAATATTACTAGCAGTTCAAAACTTATTTTTGGTAAATCTTTATTGTGGTCGTTACAATTGATAACTTTCTTCCTAATTAACTAAACGGATTTATCTCATAATTATTGTTTTCACAACTAAAGTTATCAAACTCACAAAAATATTTGTTGAGTAAAGTAGCTATTTTATTTGGTTTCAAATAAGAAAAATTGAAAATTAATCTTTTGAGTTATTTACTAAGGGATATCCCTGTTTTTTTTTTAACTAATTTCATTCATTTATATTCAATCAACCGGAACCAAGAATTTTAAAAATGCAACCACTACAACGATTTGTTACTTTGATTCTCTCATTTTCTATTTTTATTGTTTAGAAATTGCTAACCATATATATTTCACAAATCGTGTATAATTGTAACCATAATATAATGCATTTTATACACGGATATTATATACACTGATCCAATATAAAAAAGTTCTACACAGATATAATATACACGAATCCAAGATAATATAAGTTCACATAATGAATAATATACTTTATATTAACAAAAAAAATTAATCATAAATTTGTACAAATGTGGAAGCCCCTTGGTTCAGTGGTTTAACTAAGGGTTCATTAATGTTTTTACATCAGGAGGTCTAGGTTTCGAATCCCAGAAAATGCGAAATTATGCGAATTAAATGAGAAAAAACGTACAAGAGATATGTAGCATGGGTGGATCCAATAAGACGATTTATATAATGCAGTCAGGCATGAATCCTCATAAGGTAGGTAAAATAATTAGTTCTAGAATCGTATATAATATTTCTTATATAGTTTGTAATAGCATAATTATCCAAGTTAAAAAAAAAATGCTTGTACAAATAGTAACATAACCAAAAAACTTACATTATTGCATGAACTGAGTTTTATAACAATGATATTTTGTATGTATACTATTAAATAGTATGTAAGTGTAGACTTATAACCAATGAAAAAGAGAAAATGACTAGAATAGACCTAAAAATTTTTTTATCACAAATATAGACCTTAACAATTAAAATGATTAAAATAGCACTTAAATGTTTTATTAAATATATATTTATACCCTTGGGTTAACTAATCCAAGATTTTTTCTTTAGAGTTGAGGAGTGGGTTTTGGGGATAGGGTTTCGTATTTAAAAAAATTAGAAAATCTAAAATTTTCAAAATAAAAAATGATATTTTAGTCATTTTAATTATTGAGATCTATTTTTGTGATAAAAACTTAAAAGAGGACTATTTTAGAGAATTGCCCAATGAAAAATGTAATTTATCTATACTGACTGAAGGAAATCAAGTAACAAACTTAAATTCATCTTGGAAAAATCGTGTTTTGCAGAATTAATGTGATCAGAGATCTTAACATTGCTTAACAAAAATATATGAACTTCCATAACATTCTTATATATTTATGTTCGGAATAACTTGAGCAACAATATTTTCCATTAATTATACAATAAATCCTATTGATTTGTTTGTTAGCCATCATGAAATTTTAGAAAGTTAGAACAAAGGAAATTTATAACGATGTGCAACAAATTCCGATTCCTCTATTTTGTGCATCTATTAATTAAACGGTTTAGAGAATTTAAAAAGATTTTATCACGATTATAATCACAAAATCTCCTAAACCTAATCGACCATATTTCCTAGATGTTTTATTCGTTTAACATGTAGACAAACAAAATTCCAAATAATATTAATAAATATTCATATTTTTGTATTTGAAAAATATAATTAATAGAGATAGTTGTATTTTTAGACAAACAAAATTCCAAATAATATAATAAATTATATTTTTATATTGGACAAATATATGCAATAATAAATCTACGTGTATATGTTTATTGTGTATATAATAAAATTTTCTCAATTATATAGTTCAAACCTCAAATGTTTAAGTGTATATGTTTATTGCATTTTATATTTGAAACCTTATAAGTTTTGTATTTAAAAAAATCTCATATTTTTAAAACACGGATCAAATTCTAGTAACTTGTTAAAACAAACATTCTCATTAATTAATAAAATCATAATATTTAATAAATTAACAATTAAAATAAATATTTGACATGGTTAATAATAATTTGTTTGTCTCTCAACAACTGAGGATTTTACCTGAGCTGAGGACAAGGCCAACACCCAGTACCGTATTTAGTGACAAGAATCGATAGTTTGCCTCCGCTTGACGTCGACCCCGTGAGTATGACAATTGGCTCATAGGGCTCTTACCAATTAGGCTACGTACCTCATCCAGTCATATTATTTGGAGATTAGTACCCTAATACGATGATATATAAATTTTTTTTCCTATTTAGTCATAGAAGTGTTTTGTAAGTCATATATATAAGTTTCTTTGACATCATAAGTCATATAAATAATGTACTGTATATATCTTTGTTACTTTCAATAATCATGTGATTAAACGCTCAGTTTAATGAGAGTGCTTGTTTGTGAAAATCACAAGATTCGCAACCATTTAAGAATAAGAGAACGCTAGTAAAGAAAACTGTGCGAAAACATGTATTAATAATCATTTTAAAAAAAACATGAATAAAATATTCAGTAATTAATCAAGACGGAAATGGTCATTGTTAAGAATATATTTCTCTTGAATTGTATACTCTTTAAAATTATAAATTTTCTTTTTGACATCCGATATTTTTTCCAAATATATTTTATTAATATATGATTTGTCCCCATTCCCAAAGATATGTTTGTATAGTTCAACGTTTAGCTTTCAGGTTATAATCCGAAATTTACCTGTTTATGATGTACCTAATTAAATAATGTATCATATTTATTCGCCATTCATGAGATCCTTTGATTAATTAATTAATTTAGAAGCAATAGAACGACAGTTGTATTCGTTTTTCATAATGGACACGTAATTAAGTGAACAATCTTTTTTTTTCTTTTGCCGTCATTAAATGAACAATCTACAATAATAATTATCTCATTATAAACTTAAACTTAGAATGTGATTGGTAATAGCGGTTGGTGCTTTCCAGAACACCATATATTTTTAAAACACCAAATTCATAGCAAATAAGCTTTAATGATTAGGTAAAATTCACAGTTCCTGAAATAATCTACAGCTGTACAAGTGTTTTCTAGAGCCTAATATTCAAAATAATTTTTTTTACACTTTTCATATAATCTACCGCAGTAAAATCTAAAACTAAAACAAAAAAATTACATCATTTTTTCTACGACTAAATTTTAAAGTTATAACCATAACCAATCTGCCCGTTAGACTGTTAGACACTACTATACATATTAGTTTATATGAAATACTTTAATGATTAGGTAAAAATCACAGTTCATGAAATAATCTACAGCTGTACAAATGTTTTTCTAGAGTCAAATATTCAAAACAATTTTTTTGAACTTTCCATATAATCTACAACAATAAAATATAAAACTATAATAAAAAAAATTATATCATTTTTTCTACAGCTAAAATTTTAAAACTATAACCATAACCAATCTGTCCCTTAGACTGTTACTATACATATTAGCTTATATGAAATACATACCATTTGATTCTACCAGCAATATATTATTAGATAAAATAGATTAATATCGAGAAATGCATCCATTTGTCATGCGAAAAAAAACTGATAATAACGAATACATCAATTTGTGTGTCGTAAAATACGTACAAAGCATGTCTCTTACGTTGCAGGTTCCCATCATTTTTATAAATATTCCCCTTTTTCTGCTCTCTCCTTTTATATAATATATGAAATTAATAATTTATATTATATTCTTCCCCTATATATATCTCATATGTCCACCGTTTGAGTATAGCACCGCCACTCGAATTACCTAACATAAAAAAAAGATTAGAAGATTGCTATTGCTAATATTTTCTGAAAAGTTCAAATAAAAATGCAAAGGCAAGTGGCACTCATTAAGCAGTCCCTCTTTGATCAGGTAAAATTTTTCGTTTCTTCTTTTTTTTTTCTTGAACATACGTTTTTTTCTCTTAGTGTTAGTGTAGTATTTATATTAGAACCAGTTGTGAAATTAAAACTCAACTGGGAAATACATGCAGGGATACCTCGATGAACAATTCATGGAATTGGAAGAGCTCCAAGATGATGCAAACCCTAATTTTGTTGAAGAAGTTGCAACATTATACTTCAAAGACTCAGCTCGATTAATCAATAACATTGACCAAGCTCTGTAAGTAACTTTAATTATTATATTTATTTTCTATTTTGAACAAAACTTTGAATTTTCTAATATACAAAAATTACTTTAACAATGCAGGGAAAGAGGATCATTTGATTTCAATCGACTAGATAGTTACATGCATCAGTTTAAGGGTAGCAGCACAAGGTAAAAAATTTCCTGGATTTTGATAAATTTACTTATAGAAATTCGACTAATTTTTTTTTGTAAACGAAATGCGACTAGTAGTGTACTTAGTATGTTCTTATAAGTAAAAATGAGTGTAACACAGGCACACTGAAATTACTTCCATCCTTATATTCATGATTTAATAATATAATCTACTAGAAGTAACACAGTTTTATATTTAGATTATAGTTTATTTCTGTTGAATAATAAATACCATTGATCAAAACGTAACTAATAATGACATATTGTGCTTATTTTTTTTTCTTTTCTTTTTGTAGCATCGGTGCGAGTAAGGTGAAAACTGAATGCACTATGTTTAGGGAATACTGCAGGGCTGGAAACGCTGAAGGGTACTTTCCCTTTACACCTTTGTGCTTCTGTTTTTTAAGGGAATATGAACTAATGCGGTCAAAACTAAAACATGTAAAAATAGATAGTTGAACCTTGAACTTTTGCAATATTCAATTCTTGCCCTAATTAAGTTTTTTTTTTTTGGTCTAAATTGCCCTAATTAAGTTTCTCACTATTCTACTCTTGCAACAAGTGCAGATGCTTGAGGACTTTCAAGCAACTGAAGAAAGAGCACGCAACCTTGAGAAAGAAGCTTGAACAATATTTCCAGGCAAGCAAAAGATAAATTATGCTTAATGAATCATAAATTATGTGATGATCACTCAGAACCATTGGTCCCTTTCTTATTATTGTAACTATATACTAGTACTATTTAGTTATGTAACTGAATTAAATTTTGTAATGAACAGTTGGCAAGACAGGTGGGGCCTAAGGAGACCGCACGTAGGCCCAAGTAATACTGGGAGAGATAAATGAGGAATCTTCAGCGAATTTTGTAGTAGAAAATGCTATAAATACATAGTTCCTCAATGTATGTTATAAAGAAGATCTTGGATTTTTAATATTATGCATGTTAATAAACGGTCCAAATTTCTCTTATGTTTTTTTTCCCTATATGGCTAATATTCTCCTGAGAGATCATATTATTTGCTATTTGCTTCTTATTCGTAGCATTTTGGCTTTTCCTATTAATTAATGACGGTAGACAAATAAAAAATAATCATGCCTTTATGGATTCGCAAGTCTTTAACCATGAATACTTTACTCTATTTCACTATGTCATGCACTTCGAAATCGAAAGTATAGTCTATACTGCTACAGTACTCATCATAAAAGCAAAAAAAAAAAAAAATACATACATGGCCTGTACCAGGAGGATTCACGGTCACGGAAGCAACAAAAGGATGTTGTGGAACAGGAACAAGAACAAGAACAGCCGAACAGGAACAGTCGAGACAACCTCGCTCTTGTGTGTAATCCAATCCAAAATCGTACGGGACATGCTCTACTCAGTAGTATGTGTTCTGCGAGAGTGTTTATCCCTCTGAAGCTGCCAACGAGATTCTTGCCACTATTTACTTCAAACGAATTGATGATTTGCTTTCACCACAAGAAAACTAAAAGTTGAGGAGCACTTCAAACTACAAACTTTATACAATCTCCTTGTGCTTGTTTTCATATGTACAAAAACAAAATGATTAAAATACGAGTTGTGATCCAAAGATTATACACATCGAAGTTCTTGAAATATATACCATTCTAATGAACGGTTCAAAAGGAACAGAGTAGAATATCTAAGCAGTGAGCAAAGCTCAAGCCACAGCAGGTAGGGCTAAATGTTATCCGATTATGTGTTTTCACGTTTTTTCAGCAATATGGTCTCTTTGAAGCAAGTGTCTGCCTTTTGTTACCCTTCCCTTAACGATCAGTTTCTGTTTAGCACCAATCTTGGCAAAAGGTATAACAAGCCTACAAAAAACATATCAACTTAGAAGTATTGTTAACTTTCACTTGTGCCTACACTTTAAACCAGTTCAACATAATAAGAAGGTCAGAGATATAAGAAAGATTCAGCACATTTGTTGTTGAGAAACACAAAAAGCATACGTTATAGTAACGGAGTGCCCCATATATAAAGTAATAAGATGGCCCAATAAGAAATGGTGCTGCAGAAAACCATATGAGCTGCGCACAGTCATATATATATTGGTAGAACTGATAAGATAATATGTATTCACATTTTACATATAGCAATTTTCCAATATGATTTTTCTTTTGTTTCTATGAGTAGTGTGTTATATGACTTTCCTTTTAAGTGTCCGTGAACAAAAGAAAGAAACAAAAACAAAATAAAATACATTATGAATCCAAAACATGGCGAACCAGAAAATTTTCAACAAATCACTAATAACGAACAAACAGACACAGACACATATCTGACGAATAACTTTTAGATTTAACATAATAAATAAGTATATATTATTTTTTTTCTTTTCTCAAGATTTATTAATAAGTTCAAATCTTGCCATTTACTCTTTTTGAAATTTTTTTGGCAAGAATTCGTATTTTTGCTTCTAACAAGTTACCAGTTTCTCAATATTTTGGCAATTTAGCAAATAAATTAATGGAGGATTAAAGGGGAGTTTGTTCTTCGATCAAAAGGTGTTATAAAATCTTTTTAAGAGATGTGAGCCGTTGTTCTTTCTGATGGATGGGAAGAGAAGGAAGTAAATTTTTGCTAATGTAGTTCGTCTGTTTGCTTTTCTCATTGTTTCTTAACTCTATTTTATTTTCTTTCAATGTAAATTTCTCAGAAAAATCTAAGCTCGTATATTTTCGAATTTATTTGAGGTAATTTCACTGCGTTATAATCAATATTGCCCCCTATCTGTGAGTTATTTGCCCTCTATCGAATCCCTACAACAACAAAAACAAAAAAACAGTCGGAGTGAGTTTTTGGGATCCTGATTGATGTTCAATGCTTTGAACTTCTTCAACACAATATGTTATGAAAAAAAAAACTATGTTATGATTATGCTGAGTTTTAATATAGTTTTCTGATTATTTTGATTTCAAAAGTTTCAACGTCTGATGTTGCCATCTTGAAAGATTTTCATATCTCAATATTTATTTATTTTTCCTTGGCGAAATTATTAGGGTTAATTACTATGCATGATGATAAGATGATTACATTATTTTATAACAGTATTTTAATAATCTTTTTGATACTGTAAAAGTCTACCCACTTAATATTAAAATTGCAAGTGTCAATGAGTAGGTAGCATTAATTAATATGTGTACATAATACCAAGTAATTAGGGCTGGGACAGATTCAGATATCTGGGAATTTTGGAGTATCCGGATCCGGATGCGGATTCATCAAATCCGTGATTTCAGTATCCAGATTTGGGTCGTCCGGGTATCCGGATCTCGGATATCCGTCTAAAAGTTGTAATATCCGCGGATATCCTGATTCGTAAAAAAAATAAAAAAAAATAACAATTATTAAATATACATAAAATTTAAAAATAATAGACAAATTAAATATTTGTACCAAATTTATGAATATATATATGACATATAATATTATTAAAAGTAAAATATAATATTATAAACTTGGGATGCACAATGAGAAATCTGAGATTTTAAATTGGTAGAAAACTTGTAAAAGTCGATCTGTTTTTACCTCATGTTTTTGTCGTGGATCAATATTTTTTGAAACTCTTCTCTATCTCTTGAAATTTTCTCCAAAATCTTATGAGTTTTGAAAACCCTATATTTTCTCTTAAAAAGTTCTCTGTACGTAGTTGGCAAAGGAAGAAGGCTAGTTAAATATTTTCAGTAAAACGACGTAGTTTTACACACTTCCGTTTAATTAAAAAAAAGAGAACAAAACGACACAGTTTTCATAACTGTTAAATTTAACAGTTGACTCACATATTTTTGGTCAAAATTGGTTTATATCGGATATTTTTAAAGTTCGGGTATGACGAAACATAAAATTTGAGTTTATGTATGTGGTGAACGAACTTGAGAATCTAGGTATGTTTTGAACTTTTATTTATTCTTCGGGTATGAAAAAGCCTTTTTCCGTATAAATATTAACTAGATCTCAACCCGCGCAACCGCACGGGTATTGTTTTCATTGATTTTTATATAAACATTTTTTTACTTCTAAATTGGTATATATTATATAAGGTGTGTATATCGAAAATGATGATTAATTATTATATAGTATAGATTAATTATTGTTAGAAAATGCTGATTTTGTTATTTTTAAAAATAAACTATATAATTTTTAAATTTAATATCAAAAATATATAAATAATTAACTTATATTATTACAATATTAAATTATATAAGTTTAATTTTAAATATGTATTTTATTATAATATCTATAAATCCAATGGATCATCTAATTTTTATTAGCCCAATAAAAATTTCTAGTAAACCCAATAAATGTTATTAGTGAATCTAAAGAATGTTATTAATGATTAAATAATGTAATGTCATAAATTCTATTAGATTGTCCATTTTAAAATATCACACATGAAGTAAAGTCATGACTTCTCTTTTAGTATATAAGATATAATTATTAATAAAATTTAAAATTTATTATTTTAAAAAGACGGATCCGGATAATCAGACCTAAAAATTAAGATATCCGGATTCAGATCCGGTTTGGACGGATTCGATATTTTACTATCCGGATTTGGATTCGGACACCCCAGATATCCTATTTTCAGAGCGGATCTCGGATTAGATCCAAATCTCAGATAATAAATCTCAGCCCAACAAGTAACCATTGTACATAATATCAAGTAACTATTAAATTATGATACACGTGATACATGGATAAAATTAAAGTACTTCAAGTTTAAATTAGTAATCTACATAATTTTGATATGTGTGATGAGATTTTAGATTAACGTTTTGGGTTTAATTATCTAAGTATTTTGTTTTAGATCGCATGTTAAAACAAAATAGACTCCTGATAAGCTGACTATATAATTGTAAATTTATAGCAAAAGTATTGCATCTTGAATAATTGATCTGTTATGACAAAACTGTAATACTAATAACTGATTTTTCATAATGACCTTGCGAATATTGAAATTGCTAATCAGGACATGCCATCGTTTTAACATGGCCCAACGAAAACATGCAGAGGATTAGTTGAGAAGGTATATGAATATTTTTAACATAACTTTTCATGGGTAAAATTTATAAAATATCCCTCGTGGATCACGTAATTTTAGATTATTATTTCGCCTAATGCATAATGGTCTATATGAGGACATAGTTATATTTCACAATGTCAATATAAATACACGTAGAGTTCACTGCAATTGATCATAGCACCTATAACAATCTACTCTCCCTTAAAAGGTCATCTCTTTACTTCTCTATTTGTACACTTTACTTGATAGCTCACATAACATTTTTTTTTTGTAAATAGGTAACTTTTAAGACTGATCTTAAAGCAAACAAGATGACTCAAAAGGTGGCAGCACAAGGAGGGAAAGGAGGTATTCAATGGGATGATGGATCCGAACACGATGCAGTAACCAAGATTCAGGTTGGAGCAGGTGGCCTTGGCATTCAGTACGTCAAGTTTGATTATATGAAGAACGGACAAGTGGAAGAAGGACCTCGTCACGGAGTCAAAGGCCGTAGTATCGCAGCTGATCCGGTTCCTATACTTCTTCCTCTTCCTTTCACCTTTTATATATTATATAACTATATTAATAAGTTTTTGCAGCTTTTCTCATTTTGATCTCTCGATCTTTGTAGTTTGTCATTAACCATCCTGAGGAGCATCTAGTTTCTGTAGAAGGTTGGTATAACCCTGAAGGTGTCATTCAAGGGCTTAAGTTCATATCCAACAAGAAAACTTCTGATGTCATTGGATACGATGACGGTACTCAATTCACTCTCCAATCTCAAGATAAGAAGATCATTGGTTTTCATGGGTTTGCCGGAGACCATGTCCACTCTATTGGAGCTTACTTTGCTCCGTTGACTTCAATTCCGTTGACCCCTGCCAAGAAGCTGCCGGCACTTGGTGCTGATTTAGGAACTGCATGGGATGATGGTGCTTACGATGGTGTTAAGAAGGTGTATGTAGGACAGGCCCAAGATGGTATATCAGTCGTTAAGTTTGTGTATGACAAAGGCACTGAGGATGTCGTTGGAGCTGAACATGGAACGAGTACTCTACTCGGATTCGAAGAGGTATCATGCTTTCTTTCTATTTTAGATAATAGTGATATTTATATAGAGATATTTTGATATATGAATATTTTACATATAAATACGCATGAGTTAGGGAGCTCACATATGTTAGAATACTTTACTTACAAATTAAATGGAGTTGCTAACATAATAAGTCATTGGAATGGCTATCAATTAGTTTTAAGTTAGAAGGTCTTATCGTTTTTGTTACAAATGAAATTAGGCCGGTTTCCACTAGCCAGTATTGAACTGTTCCGTTTGGTTACCATTAATTATTTGCAGTTCGAACTTGACTATCCAAGTGAATACATCACGGAAGTGGAAGGCACCTACGATAAAATCTTTGGGAGTGATGACACGGTCATAAATATGCTTAGGTTCAAGACTAATAAGCGAACATCTACCCCGTTTGGACTTGAAGCTGGCACAACCTTTGAGCTCAAAGAAGAAGGCCACAAGATCGTTGGATTCCATGGAAAAGTCAGCGACCTGCTTCATCAGCTTGGAGTCTATGTCCTGCCAGTCACCAACTGATCATATGACATATTTTCTCTTTGATTTCATGTATCTATAATACGCTATCATCTATCTTTTAAATTGTTATTTGAAGTCGTGTTTCTGGTAACCTATGAATAAGTGTTTTAAGTGACGTCTCTTGTGATCAGGCTTGTTGTGATGATGTTCTTTTTATTTGATGTGTTTGTGATCCATTTCAATAAAGGAAGTTTGTTCCAGCTCGGTTCTCCATTAGGTTGATAAGTAGTGATAGTAATTCGACTTGTTAAAAATGAATTATAAATTTAAAGACAAAATTATACATATGTAGATGATCCGGCAAAAGAAAGATTAGAGTATAAAATATTGGGTTAATTTGTAAATTACTCCATTTACAGTTTCGAATTTGAAAATTACACCTTCTATTTTATTTTTTGAAACCTACACTTTCTTAAATGTGAATTGACATTTTTACCCAAATTACATATTTTAATAATTGAGATATAAGTTTGAGATTAATAAGAATAATAATATTATAATTATTTTATGTTTATGATAAATTTGTGTTAAGATAAATATGATATTTTACCATTTAAAATTATATAATAACAAGAATAATATAAAATAAACAAATATGATTTGTTTTAACTTTATCATGGAATTTCTTTAAATTTTATTTCATAGATGACTGATTTAGACGTCTATGTGACTCATTAATAGCATTTTAAATATTTTTTTCATTAGTTCAGCACAGTCGATATGGTCAAAAGGTCAAGCACCTACCAAGTAGGCAGGATCGATCCTGAGAAATACGAGGTCTAAGGCGATTTTTAAACAATTTCACTTAAATTTTTTTTTTTACATATTTGGGGGCCTAAAAATATTTTTTGAAGACCTATGTACATGTAATTTTTTCAGAAAAATTAGATCTAAGACGAATGTTTCATCTGGCTTGGCCCAGGACCGGCTTGCAAGTAGAAACTAGCAAGAAAGTTTTAATCGCTAGAGCTTTCTCTTGTTTTGTTTCTACTGAACAGGTGGCTTATATGGTTTTCGCGGGATTATTTCCATTTAACTCATTCATGTCTAGATTTCTCTCTTGTATTGGGATGGTTCTTCTTGTTGGTATGTTTTTAGCATTTTGAAAACATACGAATACATGTTCATTAGGAATATATAAAACCAATAGAGTTTAAGTCAATTGGTATCAATCAGATAAGAGTTTGGAACAAGAATGATCATTTGCAGATTTTTGTGCTCTACAATTTCAGAGTCCATCGAGTCGCATAGACGACACTTACGTCGAACTTAAACAGAACTTAAACAGTCTCAAGTACTTTGCCCAAAAAAAAAAAAAAAACTGAAATCTGATTCATGAATTAATAAACATTTTAATAAGATGAAAGGAAGAATCTGTAAAAATAGAAAAAAAAAATCAGAAACGGAGGATGAGTTTTTTTTTTTCAAATAATAATTTTTTTAAAAGATATTAAAAAGATATTGTCTAGATACTCTAAGATTTTTGTTTTAAAAATTCTTTTTGTATAATCTTTATTTTATATAAATAAATTAGGACTTGAGAAATATTAAGATTTGACTATTTGGTAAATTTTTATATACATAAGTGTATTTTTCCAAAAGCTTAAACAATGGTGTAATTTTCAAATTATAATCTTATTTGAGTGAATTTCTCCAAATAGTTGTTTTGGTAAAATCTTATAATATGTCTCGTGGATCACGAAACTACAGATTATATTATCTCGACGTATAGTAAATAATGGCATAGCTGTTTTACCCACACATACAGACATAATAATTTTACAAATATTGTAAAGTAAATACATTTGAAAAATGAAAATATTTTATGAAAAAAGCAATAAACTCTTTACATATCCAGATTTTTATCGTAATATAAATACTTTTGATCAAATCAATGAATTTGTTTAATTTATGGTTAATTATATATTAAAAATATAATTGTTCATTAACATTAATAAAAACTTTATAACATAATATAAATTATTTTTAGATAATGATAATTTTCAATCAATGAAATTCATTTTTAGTTAATGGCCAACTATATATTAATTTGTTTCTAGTTTATGGTTAACTAATATAAATAATTTTACATAATGATAATCATTCAATCAATGAAATTTTTTTAATTAAGGTTAATTATATGTTAGTTTGGTTTTAATTGATAGTTAATTATACATTAATAAATCTAATTATTCATTAATGGTAATAATTAATTATTAATCATAAATCATAAAAACATGACAAATAAGCAAAATTATAAAATTATGGAGAATAAGGCAACTAAATAAATTTACTTCTTAAATAATAATATAGATATGTGGATCAATGGCTAATTCCAAGAGGTCAATAATTCACATTACAATTCGACAAAAATATTTGGTAACATCTCTAATATAAAACTAATTTTTTTTCTAAAATGAAATTGGGTTTATTCTAACTCTACTTCATTTTAAAGTAAAAAAAAATGAATAATAAATAAAAAGAACAAAAAAATTACTCCATTTATAGAATAAATCTATGTTTCTTTCATAATAGAATGAAAAATGAAGTGAAGTTTTAGCATTTCTTGCTCTAAATTCTATTTTGGAGTAAATTATAGAGAGAGACTGAAAATGTTCTTAGTTTCAGATTAATATGCAAACATGGAATCCCTATGGACTTGAACTTGAAGGTGGGTGCAGTGCAGCTTTCCAACTCGAAAAGGAAGGCCACAAGATTGTTGGGTTTCATGGAAAAGGCCGATGAGCTGCTTCATCAACTTGGAGCCCATGTCCTCCCCATCACCAACTGATCATGGCATCTTTCTCTTTAGTTCCATCTAATAAGTTATCATATTTGTCTTCATGTCTTTTAAGTTGCCATCGCAAGTCTCTTTATGTTTTGTATCTGGTGGCATATGAAAAAGTTGTTTTACTTTTCATGTTTCGGTTTGAAACTCAAACTGCCTAAGTGTGACCTTGTTTTTCTATACGGGTTTTTGGTCCAATTTAGTTAAGGCTTGCTGCTAGAAAAGTTAATAGCATTAGGGGAGAAAAACAGGCAAAACTACTACTCCCTCCGTTTCAGATTATTTGTCATTTTAGGTTTTTACACACAGATTAAGGAAACATTTAATTTTACATATTTTCAATATAAAAACACAATTACCAATACACCTAACCACTTTTCAACCAATAGAAAAATAGAATATCATATAAACATAATAAATTTTGTCTCGAAACTCTAAAACGACACTTATTTTGAAACGAATTTTTTCCTCTAGAATGACATATAATTCGAAACGGAGGGAGTAATAAAGCTCTGAAACCTTTGACGCTATCATATTAAGTCACGGGCTTAAACTTTATGACTGCCAGTCAATATACAGACTAAAACGGATTGTATTATATAGGCCCAAAGACTTAAGTGAGCTGGGTTTGGCGGTTTGACAAAGAAAAAAGGTTTCATCACTTTCATGGTAGGGCATAAAATCCAAAATTTGGAATCCGAAATCCAAGCGGAACCAAACCGGAAAAATCGACCTATTATCCGAATGTAAAAATATTCGAACGGATCTTGTAGAATGATACAAAAAATATCCAAATCTGAAGTGTTATTAACCAAACACGAACGGATAACCCAAAATATCTAAAATTAGTAGTCAATATAAATATTTTAATTATATAAGTATTTCAAATATTGAGTTCAATGCTTTGATATGATACATACATTAAATATTAAAATACAAATAAATACCTTAAATATCTAATTAGTTAGAAATAAGTACTTTATAAATGCATATTATTTACAAATGATGTTTGTTTTCATGATTGATTTAACTTTTTCTTTTTCTTTTTTATCAGTTTTATGTTTGTAGGATTTTCCTATTCAATTTAAGTGTTTTATGTTTTGATTTAAAATTTTCTTTTTTATTTTGGATATATCCAAACCAAACTGATATAATCCAAATCCAAAAGATACAGTAAAACCTCTATAAATTAATAATGTTGGGACTTTGAAATTTTATTAATTTATAGAGATATTAATTTACGAAAGTTTCCTTATTCAGATTTTTATTTATTTTTTCCATTTTAATTTATAAAATTAAAAAAAAAGTATTTTATTTTAGCATATGTACATTATTTAAATTTTAGGAATTTGACTTTTATATTGTTTTATTATCTTATTTGGTATATATTTTTATGTTTCATAGAATTATTACATGGTTTTCAATATAATTTAACTAAATATTATCAAAATATATTGGAAAGTTTAAAAAAATAAAAGTATTTTTCTAGTAAATATAAAACTCCTAACTAAATATTATCAAAATATATTGAAATGTTTTAAAAAATAAAAGTATTTTTATAGTAAATATAAAACCAACAATATAATGTTAGATTGTAATTATATAAAATTATATATAACTAGATTATTAATTTATGATTTTAGTGGGATCGTATATTTACATGGCAGTTTTAAAAATATTATTATCTTATTATTTTATCGATTTGTATCATATTTTACATCGGTCCAAGTTGGGATCGGTGAAATTTATTAATTTATAGAGATTATTAATTTATCGAGTATTAATTTATAGAGGTTCTACTTTATATAGTTATTTTATGGGTTTTATGATGTAATATTAATTTGAACCGAATCCGAAATGTTATTATCTGAATCTGATCTGTACTAATAAAATACTAGAATGAGATCTATAAGTATAAACTCGAAAACCCAAAAATCTAAAAATCTGAATCCGAACGGGTATCCGTTCAGACGTATTTGATGGTTTAAGTTTTACACTACCGCCTGGCCGGATTTTATAAGAAAAATAATTATGATCGACCTGCCTCTTAAATAACCTGCGTAAGCAGCACCCCACGTCAACGAGTTTAGGGTCGACGTACACGTCAAAGTTAACGTATGATAGGAGTATTGAACCCAGTATCCATATTTATAACGCTAATTTGAATAAAGACCGCGATTCGATTTTTAAAAAAGCTCATGTTTTGCTATAATCGCACACGCGATGATGCACGAGGACCGGCTGAATATAAGGGGGGTCAGCTGGGCTCATTCCAATTCTTTTTTAAAAATAAATTATATTTAAATTATATATATAATAATATATAGTGTAATAAAAATAGAAAAGAATTTAAATTTCTACAAAATATAAACAAAAAAATAATTGTTTTAATACTAAGGCTATGAATAGGATGCACATAAACACGCAGATTTAATGCAGATCATTTATTTTGCAGTTAAAACTGTATTTGTGTCCCTATCACTATGAAAAATGCAGAGTAAAATAAAACAATTAGATAATAGAATATCTACATATAGATTAATAATAGTTATTAATTTATTGATCTGCAAGTATGAGAGGAAATGAGCATGTCGAGAGGCAGATGATCAATAAATGCTTTACTTTTGTTTAAATGTTTTTCCCTTCCAAATGATTTCTCTTATTCTTCAAACGTAATAAATACTTTTCATTTATTTTAATTCATTCATTTAACAAATAATCTTTTTCTCAGAATAGAGTTTAATATTTTTTTATGTTATAATATTAAGTTGATCTACATTTATTCTACTTGATATGCATTATCTGCATTTGTCTGCATTTCTGTTTGACCTAATTAATTATAGGGTTTGAATTTTTCTGCACTGCCCAGTATTGAACCGGCCCTGTGATTATGCACAATAATATTTTTGGCTGTGGACAATGTCTAAAAATGTTTTAGAATCACTAAATAAATAAATATATATGTATATGTATTCAGCTATGGATAATTAATATTTTCAATTTTAAACTGGTAAGTAATTATTATAAATAATAGTTTTACTAGATTCTAAATAAAACTTTATGTTAAATAATGGTACGTACAATCCTAAACACACAACTTTCCTATCTTGAAAAATGAAAATTCATTGGCAAAAAAAAGATGAAAAACTCATTTTCATTGATTGTGGAGTTCTTTTGTACTTCGAACCGATCGATGACAGCAATTTCATGTGCGTAAGTTCAACTCTTTTGCTTCATATTGTAACAACTCATGGATCACGAGATTATATAATAAGAAAACATCGACTTCTATTACGTAATGACTGGTCTATATGGATATATATTCCAGGACATCTATAAATACGCATGCAACTCTACGTAAATGAATAACTAAACCTTTTTATCTCTATCTTCTATCAGGTTAACACTCATTCTCTCATCTGATCCTTTTTTTCTAGAAGGATTTTAATTAGTTCGTTGTTATAGGTAATTCGAAGGACTTATCGAAAGCAAGCAAGCAAATGGCTCAAAAGGTAGAAGCACAAGGAGGTAAGGGAGGAGATGTATGGGATGATGGTGTTCATGACGGCGTTAGAAAGGTGCATGTAGGGCAAGGGCAAGATGGTGTATCGTTTATCAACGCCGTGTACGAGAAGGGTTCGGAGGAGGTTGAAGGCGGTGAACATGGAAGTAAGACACTTCTTGGATTCGAAACGGTATGTATACACAGTATTATTGTACTTGCCTCCATTTATGTCTTTTGTATGCTTAATTTTTCATTGTCTATTATTAAAACTACTTAAGACTCAATACCAGTTCTAGGAGTATATTATGATGGACTCAGTACAAATCGATTTCAGATATGTTGAAATTTGCTTCGAAAAAGTTTTAGTAGCTCTGGTCCGAATAAACCCCAGACCCATCAATTTTGTTTAATTTTTAGCTAGCCCTAGAGTGATTTGTAAGACCACATGAACATGCAAGACCTATAAATTAGAGAAAAAAGCAGGCCTAGACGACTTTACTCCAACTATGGTCTAGATAGAGTTAATCCCTTACAACTTTCTTACTCAACAGAGGTTTATTTCTATTTTTCTTTTGCAGTTTGAGGTTGATGCAGATGACTACATCATAGAAGTGCATGTGACCTACGACAAAATCTTTGGCCATGAGTCTGACCTCATCACATCTATTACCTTCTATACACTCAAAGGGAAAACCTCTCCACCCTACGGATTGGTCACCGAAAATAAGTTTGTACTCAAGGAACAAAACGGTGGCAAACTTCTTGGGTTCCATGGACGCGCCGGCGATGTTCTGTATGCTCTTGGTGGGTATTTCGCTGCAACCATAACTCCTTTGACTCCTGCCAAGAAGCTACCAGCTGTTGGTGGTGATGGAGGAGCTGCATGGGATGACGGTGCTTATGCTGGCGTTAAAAAGGTCTATGTAGGACAAGCCCAAGATGGTATCTCAGTCGTCAAGTTTGTGTACGACAAGGGAGCTGAGGAAATTACAGGAGAAGAACATGGAAATAGTACTTTACTTGGATTCGAAGAGGTACGTAGTCTTTGTTATTTCTCAAAATCTAACAGACTTTTGTCAGCAGGAAGTATTTTTTATTGCTTTGTTCTGGATTCCTTTATTTGCAGTTTGCACTTGACTATCCGAGTGAATACATCACATCAGTTGAAGGCACATATGATAAAATCTTTGGGAGTGACTCTGAGGTCGTTACCATGCTTAGGTTCAAGACTAATAAGCAAATCTCTGCTCCCTTTGGAATTGAAGCTGGGACACCCTTCGAACTCAAAGAGGAAGGCTACAAGATTGTCGGATTCCATGGAAAAGTCGACGAGCTGCTTCATAAGTTTGGAGTCCATGTCCTTCCAATCACTAATTGATTATCACATCTTTCGCCTTGATTTCACCGAATTCGTCACTTGTGATTTTAATGAATAAGTTCTCTACCTTTTTATGTTCTGTTTGTATATGTTTCAAGTGCTTTCAATTATTGTCTCCTTTATGTTGTTGGTATGTCTTTAATGTTATAATATATGTGGTTGATTTTAATAAAATGGTGGAATTGATCAAATATTTAAACCTGCCACATTGTGTGTTACTACTACAGTTAAAAATCTTGAGCGCAAGAAACAAACCAGTAAATGATGAGACAATAGAAAATTAATGTACAAAACTTGGATATTCGATCTTACAATGTATTAGCAAATCTAAATTAATGACATGATTACATGGTGCAGTGCTGCTGGTACCTAATATAAACAAGACAATACTTAAAAGATCATGAAGCAAAAACAGCCAGAACATAAATTAAAGTTGACAAACTTATTTCAGTCTTTGAGAGACCATAAGTAACAAGCTATGTGGATCGAAATGAAGATCGTGATGGGAAGGACATGGACCCCAACTTCGTGAAGCACTGGGTTTGATCTTGCGGCCTTCCTCTTTGAGTAAGAAATTGTGCGAACGTCAAGTCTAAAGGGGAGCAGACGTTTCCCTATTAGTCTCGAACCTAAGAATAGTTATGACCGTGGAATTTCTCCCAAAGTTTGTGGACAGGTGTTGTTTTTTGGTTTATTTGGCAATATAATGCATGAATGTGTGTTGATTTTTGTTAATCTAAATTAAGGGTATAGTTCATAGTGATCTTAACTCTTTTGTTTCTTTGGAGTGCTAAATATACACACCTTCCACCTCTAAACCATTTATAAGTTTATAGCCAGGACTTTTGTCTAACTGGGTTCATATATGCAGGAAGCTAGTTGATCATGTCTTGAAAACAGTTGACCAATTTACCTTGAAGGACATTGCAGAAGTCACCAGCAAGGTTATCGCCAAGCCTTTGACGATGGCATCTTTCGTAGCAGGTAAATAAAAACACTATCACAATTTTTGTCCTATTAATATCGATGGTTGCTTTGATCCAGTTTACGTACTACATCTTAGTTACAGTGTTTAGTCTTCCAAGCTACGACTCCGTAGCCAGTAGATTTTCTTGAAGCTACTCAAAGCAAAGAAGATCTCTTTTGCATCAAAAGAAAGAGTTGGAGGACCAGTAAGATAAACATTTTCTTGAATTTTTAAAAATATAAAAGCATATTCGTCTACCGTCGAAAGTCTAAACTATGATTAAGATAGATAAACCTTAATTAAATGGCTGTTAGGGACTCATTTTGGTAGATTACGAGGTAAATTAGCTCTTATCCTTTTGTCTTTGACATGGTAAACAGAGCTTATCAAAAGCCTAAGAAATACAGTTAAAATTTTATTTTAGTTTGTTTCAGAAGAACGAATATGATGACGCATGCACGTATCTGCCTCCGCCAATCATATCCCCTGGTGCTCTTAAACAATGATTAGATACAGAAACATTACAAAAGATTGTGAAAATTCCATAACAATGATAACGTCATATCGTACTTGTCAGACTCCATATATTACAAATTCCAACGTCATTTCGTCAACATATCTTCTCGATTACTCACATCTTTGAATTTCAAACTCTCTACCCAAGTTAAATTAACCTTTTTGAAAAATGTATTGCCTTAATCTTCTACTGTGATGCATGAACTTTGTAACAATTCTTACTTTTCTGATGTATAAAATTTAATTCATCATTAAAAAAACCAGTTTAACATGAAGAGGTCGTGTGTAGTAACTAGTAAAGTAGTCTGGTAATAACTAGAAATAAAATTTAAATTTAACATATTATTCCAAAGGAAAAATTTACAAAAATAAGAACGAGAAATAAATGACCAAATATAATAAAGAAAAGTCGAAGACTATGACGATCTCTTCTTTAAAGAAAATTTAAGGACGAAAATGACGTTTCTTTCTAATTATAGTATCTTAAATCCGGCGGGACTTGAGGAAACTGACGATCATAAGAAGAGCGTTTTTCTTGTTGCGATTGGACCATCCTCACCCCGCTAACGCTACTTCTAGCCGCCATAATGTCATCAAGCGAAAACTTCTTTCTATCAGGACGCTGTCTCGGCGCACTATGTGAACGCAACTTAGCCTTATACGACTGCGTATTAGCCATATAACTCGGTGACATCAAACCAGGATTACTTGGTCTAAAACCAGCGTCTCTACAAACGCTCTTTGCTGGCGAAGGCGGTGTGTAATAGTAGTGATGATTATTCGCCGCCGGTGAAGAGAATCTCGGCGTGTTTTGAGCCGTAGGAAACTTAGATTTATCTCCTTGAAAACTCCACTCAAAATCATCTCCATGTTCGGATACATCAACGTTCATTCTCCTTGATCTTGACTTCGTCTTGTAAGTGTCTATCTCAACAATCTTGGGACTGGTCTCATCATAGGTGTTGTTATTGTTGTTATGTTTCCCAACAGAGATTGATGTTCTCTTGCTATGGATATCGCTTCTTGAATCATCGGGTTTCTCCTATTGTACACCAAAAACATAAGTTTGACCATAGAAATTGAGAGAAGAGGAATAAATGGTTGTTCTTACAAGAGTATGTCGACGATGTAACATGTTGTTGCGGTTGATGCGTTGAGATCGAACGCTAGTTTGTGCTCTGATGAGAGCTTGCATGCTATGAAGCGTTTCGGCTGCGCGTTTGCGAACTAAAAATCCCCTCACCAAAGCTTGCAGCTTCACTAAACCTTTCAACGCTCTTAAAGCTTTTCTCGCCTAAAACAATATTCAAATTTAATATTTAAAAAAAAACTAAATAATCACATTCGAAAAGAATCTAGCAAAAGACGTGTACTGTTTCATTAAGGAATATGTGTAATGAGTAAGCAATGTACAGACATGCTTTCGTGTCGAAATTGATGACAAAAAGAGTTCTTGGAGATATTTTTATTAATTTACCAAATAGCCCTTGAAGATTGTTTGAATTTTAACGGCGGCCCACCGTTCCATTGTGGTCTCGGAATATCCTCCAGCTCTTCCGTTAGTTGTTAGCCTGACCACCGTGGCGGCAGCTTGAGCCGCTGCAACCGCTGCGTCTGCGGCAGCAGCAGTGGCCGCAGCAACCGCAATGGCGTGTATGTTCTGTTCTTTGTCTGTTTCTGCCAAGTGGGTCCTGAGCCAGACAGAATCCTCTTGGAGTAGTTTCCGGTGAATGAAGGACCCACCGGCCTCTCCTCCTCCGTCGCCGGAAACACGGTTCTCTTTCTCTTTGCTCTTTTTCATACCGAAAATGCCCTTAAACCATCTCGCTGCTCTCCCCATTTTCTTTCAGCTTCAAGAACGGTCAAAGATGTTTCTTCACGATTTCAAGAGAGAATCAGAGATGAGAAATCAAAAATACCAAGAATAACTGAAAAAAAATGGAGAGGAAAACAAAATTTATGGCACTGAAACTGAAGAAGATGTTTAGTGAAAGAAGCACTGTTAAAAAACAAAGGAGAGATAAGAACTCAAGAGAGATGTAGTAGAGGGAGCAATGGAAATAGATTATTGAAAATGTATGAGGTTCTCATTTATATATATTGAATATAAATTCGAGCAAAGGAAAAATATTTATGTACATTTGTTATGAATATTTTTTGTATTCGACTGCACCGATTGGTAAAGAGCTAGCTAACCTTTTGTTTATACGATATCTGCAGATTTAAGGTAACGTATTTCAATTCAAAAACATTAACAAATATTTTAACTTAAGCGTCAAAATGAAGATTGTTACTTTTCTCTAGTTAATAATTCAGTAGAATCTATAGATTTTAAGTTTATTAATTAGTCAAGAAATAATACTTTGAACAAAAAAGGAAGGATAAGTTTTTTTTCCTCGTTAAATTGTAAGACATACAGTTTATTACATTTGGAAATACACTGAACTCAGTTTCAACGAACTGACAACAGTTGTAATCATATTCAGATTTCAGAGTTTTATAAGCAAAAGAAGAGATAAACCTTTAACGAAAATAATACGCATTTAAAAAAAATAGTAATAATAACAATAATAATAATACGTCCTTATAAATTATTTTTACACAAACTTATATTTAGCTGTATAATTATTATTTTGACATGTTAGAAAAAAAAATAAACAGTATGATTCAGAAAACAAATCTGACACAACCTCGTGAAGAACTAAGAGCACCAGCAATGGTAAGATTGGACATAAATTCTTAGACACAGTAATTAAATTTTTTTTATTATTATTTATTTTTTTTAAGCTGAAAAAAGGGAATAACAATTTGTAACATGTGAATAGTAACGATACTGCGTATGAATTGATCCTTATTCAAGAAATACAAGAGACTTTTATGGCACAATAACCTAGAAAAGTGGGACTGCATGATTAATTTATTAATTTTTCAACAGTCAAGGATCACTTAAATATTTGCGTTGCGGCTGCTCTAAATTACAAGACAAAATGATGTCATGGAGAAAAGATGGAGCGCTCTAATTTTTTTTTATTAACCAATTCATTTTCGAGTTATTTCTGCAAATATTCCAAAATGAGAATAAAAATAGAATATCAAACACGCTGGAACATGGATCTGCAGACGAATAATGGAATGGAGAAGAACAGATTAAATTATACTTTCAGATTAAAAATAAAAATAAATACATCTTCAAAAATTCAAAAGTTGTGTTTCTGCCTTCAGCAATACGCCACTGAGTTAAAAAAAAATGTCTTTATAAAGCATTGTGTTCTTAACTCGATTATTAATTTTTATTTTGAGATTAAAAATAAAAATAAATACATCTTCAAAAATTCAAAAGTTGTGTTTCTGCCTTCAGCAATATGCCACTGAGTTATAAAAATGTCTTTATAGAGCATTGTGTTCTTAACTCGATTTTAGAGATCCCCTTCTCGTAATTCCCGTCATTAGTTTATTTAATTGTCTCATTCCCCTAATTTAACTCATAGTCCTATTTATTTTTAAATGCTAACTAAAATATACTAGCATTTTCGAAGTTAAAAGATCTAAAGAACTTTCAAAACATAAATTTCATTGTTATGGAATCATGTTGGCTTGTTTTTAAATCAAATCTGGTTCAGAGTATCTCCAAAAAGACATTCTATAGTTTCAAATATAAAATTTTCAGTTCTCCAAAAAAAAATCCAAAACTTTGAATTTGAAGTTTTAATGGTGAAACTTACTTAAAATTTCAAATTTGAAGTTTCATATTTTTATTTGCATTTGAGTTTTTACAATTATACATTATATTTATAATTCTTATATATTTTATGGTTTATCATTTTAACCCTTAAAAATTCATATCTCATAAATATTTCAAACTTTTTTTTCTAAAACAACAAGATAAGATTTAAAATAGTTAAAATTATAACTAGACAACAACAATATTACAAGACTTAATGTAGTATTTTATTTATATTTAATATCTAATTATATATTTCTATTAATAATTTCACATTTTAGTGTAAAACTTTATCATTTAATATTGTTATAATAATTTTATATATGTGCTAGTTATTTATAAAATTTCTATGAATTTGAACTAGTTATAACAAATATAAAGATCATAGTATAAAATACAAATAGTTTTCAAATTTTGCTTTTGGAGCATAACATCTCCAAACTTCATATATAGAATTTTACAAACTCTAAAATAAAGTATCTTTTTGGAGATACTCTTAGAAGTAAAAAGGGAAAATCGCATAAAAAACTTTAAAAGTGAAATTTACTAGCACTTTAAACCATAAAGTTTTTACTAGCACTTTAAACCTTCAAAGTGACATTCGTGTCACAAAAAACCTTGAACTTGAAAATCTGACCTGTTGAACAGGTAAAACAAGTTAATTATCAAATTTTAATAAATATTTTAAAAGAAAAAAATTAATAAATAATCAAAAATGATTAAAAATCAGTTAAATTTTCAAAAAAAAATTAAAGAAATTTTCAGAACATAAAGAAATATTTAAAAAATAAATAAATTCAAATACCAAAATTAAATAAAATTCTAAAATTGAAACAGAAAATTAAAGAATATTCACAAAATTCAACAGAAATAAATAAAAATAAAAAACTAAATTACATTTTTTAAAAATTAAAGAAAATTTCAGAACATATAGAAACATTTTTAAAAAATTGAAAACTGTTTGAAACCATAATTTTAAATATTGATATACTTAAAATTTTTATTCTCAACTATAATATTTCAGATTTCTGAAAAAGAAATCTTGTAATTTTTATGCAATTTTTCAAGAAAATTGACATATCATCGTTGTCAAAAGAAGTTCAAACATATCACTGTTGTAGTTGATGGTTTCAAATAGTTAAAAACATAATCTTTTAATTTTCAAAAAACTATTTTAAACTTTTGAATTTTCAATTTTTGAATCTTCTTTAAATTTTTGTTTAATTTTCTGAATTTTATTTAATTTTTAATATTTCAATTTATTTCTTTTTATAAATTTTCTTTATGTTCTGAAATTTTCTTTAACTTTTTTTTGAAAATTCAAATGATTTTTATTTATTTTTTGATTATTTATTATGTTTATTAAATATTTATTTCTCTGCAAAAAACTAATAAAATAAGTAAGTTTTCATATTTTTACGAGAAATAAATAGAAATTTAATAAATATTCAAAAATAAATAAAAATCAAATGTATTTTCAAGAAAATTTCAATTTTGTGAATTTTCTTTAGTTTTTGGTTTAATTTTCAAAATTTTATTTAACTTTGGTATTTGAATTTATTTTTTATAAATTTTTCTTTATGTTCTGAAATTTTCTTTTTTTTTGAAAATTTAATTGATTTGTTATTCATTTTTGATTATTTATTAAATTTTATTTATTAAATATTTATTTTTCGACAAAACTTGATAAATGACTTGTTTTACCGGTTCAACAGGTCAGAATTTTAAGTTTAAGGTTTTTTGTGACACAAATGTCACTTAGAAAGTTTAAAGTGCTAGTAAAAAAACTTTAAGGTTTAAAGTGTTACTAAGTAGCAGGTTTTTATGCGATTTTCCGGAAGTAAGAATGATTGTGGTTTAGACAATTTGAGTTCGAAAAGATTACTGTAAAGCAAACCGAACTATAAATTATGTCGTGGACCTCGTGGTTGGCGAACGTTGACCAAGACATTTTCATTATTGCTAAGGTTTATGCTCATGCCGAAGTGTGGCTTTCAATGGAAAACAAATGTGAATATGGAGACTATAATAAACAAAAGTTGAAACTTTATGTATTAATGACAAATTTATGCATGGTACCAATCAAAGAAGATAGTAGCATTGGTTTGTTACCTCGAGAAATGAAATTTACTTTGCGGAACAACGTTCTTCTTTGGTTCAGAATGAAAAAGTGGATTGAATATTGTGGATCTAGCGTATCAAAAGGATTGAGTGAAACAAGAATAATTAAAACTAGGTACCCGCACGCCTGTGCGGACATTAATATAACTATATATCGCATAAAAATTGATATGAGTGTATAAATGTATTATAACTTTTTTTTTTCTACGTAGGTATTCTGTTTTTCCTTGTATATCTTTCTATCTTATTCATTTCGTTTTTTCTTGTTTTTTTCACACATATTCATTCTGTCTATTTTGTATCTCTCTTCCCATTCTTTTTGTCTGTCATTATACCTCTTTCGCTTGCTTTCTCTTTTTATTTTTCTCTCTTGATCAAATAATCTCAAAAATTTTCAAACCTACATTCACTCTCTCTTAATCATTTATATTCTCTCTTTTACCTCATTTTTATTATAACCCTCAATATTTTACGTTCAAACTTTTTCTATTTCTTTTTTGTTACAAAATTTTTACCAGATTTTGTTAAATCTTTAAAACACTCTCACATAATATTAATAAATAATTTCATGATCTATCTCACCTACATTCAGTCTCTCACTTATTTCACTATCATATCCATCATGATCATAATCCTCACTCTCCACTCCTCATCATCAACATCTCTCCCTCTCTCACCTATTTTTTTTTATTTAGCTTTTAACGTAAAATTCACAATTGAACTCACAATAAGTTAACCAAACAAATTCATTATTAATTTCTCTCTAATCTTCACACTATCTTATCAAATATTGATTCACTTGACCAAGACTTTCATTAGAAAATAAATATTTTTTTAAAAATTTTTTTTTTAAATTACTTCAATACACACCTATTTTAACTAAATCTAATTTACCGTATTTCAAAAGAAATATGATTACTTAATTATATATCCTAAAAATATGAATTTTTAAATAATCTGATGTCATTAGACATAGATATATCAAAATAACATGTTTC